GAGACTAAATCTAGAAGGCCCCCATGGTTTGATGCTGAGTGCCTTCAAGCAGTAAAAGTGAAAAATGAAGCCTACAGAAAGAAGGTTCAGCGTCCCACAAGGCTCTCCCAAGAAACATATAGAAGAAAAAGACGCGAAGAGAAGAGATTATTCCGCGGAAAGAGAAGAGCTTGGGAAAATAAGAACATGGAGGACACAGAGGCATTGCGAGGCCAAAATGAAAGTCGCCTGTTCTTTCAGAGAATAAACGAGGGTAGGGCAGCTTTTAGGCCCAGAGTGACGGCATGCAAAGACACAAATGGAACTCTTTTAAGCCACAAAGATGACGTACTAAGGAGATGGGTACAACATTTCAAAGGCGCATTAAACAGAGGAACGGTGCCTGGAGAAGTAGGTGTAATGAAGGAAGACTCCCTGAATTCTATTGAACCCCCGGATGAGGAGGAAATGGAAAACGCCCTGAGGAAATTGAAAAATGGAAAGGCGCCAGGCCCGGACGGAATCCAGTCAGAGCTGTTGAAATGTGGAGGTGAAGAACTCAAGAAAGCTCTGCATGATTTAATGCTGACCATCTGGGAGAAGGAAGCTATGCCTACGGAATGGGCAACAGCCATTATCTGCCCAATACATAAGAAAGGAGATCAAACAGAATGCGCTAACTATCGAGGAATCTCACTCCTTTCGTGTGCTTATAAGCTGCTCTCTAACATTCTTTTTGAGAGGATCCTCCCGTATTCTGAAAAGGAACTGGGGAAATATCAGGCTGGATTTCGAAGAGGACGCTCAACGACTGATCAACTGTTCTCTCTGAGGATGATCCTAGAAAAGACTATGGAGCGTAAGGTAGTCACCCACCATTTATTCCTGGACTTTAAAGCAGCATACGACAGCGTTGATAGAACGCAACTATACTGTGCCTTGGAGGAGCTAAGCATCCCTCAGAAGCTCGTACGCCTAATCAAGATGACCATGGACAGCTCGAGATGCAGAATACGCGTCGGTTCTGACGACTCCGAAGAGTTTAAAGTGAGCAGTGGGGTTAGGCAAGGGGATGCCCTCGCCTGTCTATTGTTCAATTTGGCAGAGGAGAAAGCTGTAAGAGACTCCGGTATTCAGACCAAAGATATAATCTTCAATCGCCTGACACAGCTTCTTGGTTTTGCTGATGATATTGACATAGTAGGTAGGTCTGAACGGGCTCTCAGAGAAGCGTTTATAAGCCTTGAAGCAGCTGCAAGACCACTTGGTCTAGAAGTCAACGAGAGGAAAACTAAGTATATGAGAGTTGGCGGTGAGGTTGATCTGAACTCTCCATTTGAGGTAGGTTCTTTTAAGTTTGAGAGAGTGAAAAGTTTTATATACCTTGGGTCTGAAATCAATAGCAAGAATGACATGGCTCAAGAAATACAAAGAAGGATCACGGCTGCCAATAGATGTGTCTTTGGACTTGGCCGACACTTAAGAAGTAGGTACCTCTCAAAGAAGACCAAGTTGATCATATACAAGACCCTTGTTCGGCCTGTTTTGACATATGGCTCAGAGGCTTGGACGATGACCAAAAGGGATGAGATGAAGCTGAGTGTCTTTGAGCGAGGAGTCCTCAGAAGGATTTATGGTCCAGTAAAGGAGGGTGATGTCTGGAGGAAAAGAAAAAATAGGGAGCTCAGTTCTCTCTATGCAGACATCGACGTAGTCACGTATATTAAACTGGCCAGACTAAGGTGGGCAGGGCATGTGGCCAGAATGAGCACCCTTGAAATACCAAAAAAAATAATGATGGAGGAGCTGCACCTCGTAAGACGGGTAGGAAGGCCGAGGACGAGATGGTTGGACAACGTGGCCTATGATGCGAGAACCCTGCTTGGTGTGCGGAACTGGAGAGCTGCAGCAGAAGACAGAGCCAACTGGCGGAGGCTCTTGGAGGAGGCCCAGTCTCGGTGACGGGATGTTGTGCCATACATGAATGAATGAATGAATTTTAATTAAACCTTAAATTCATCTCTGAAAGTCTATCCTAAATAATTTATCTCTATGTATTATGGTGCAATTTCTATTCTCAAGAGAAAACATCATTCTTTCTAGCTCTTATATTCATAAGGATGCTGAACACTTTTCTTGAGGAATTGTAGCTAAATCAATCTCCATAAATGGCCTTCTGGATGCTACTAATCTCTCAATCTCTCTGTAGCATCTAGGTCAAGTAATGAAATTGCTCATATCTGAACAGGTGTGGGACCAACTTTTCTCGGTGATTGTTTAGTTGATAACCAAATTCCATGAAAATTCTTGATCACATAGGTCATAGTATAGATGATCAATGGCCAGGTTGAAGAGTAAAGGTGGCAAGGAACCACTTTTAGATACTCCAAGCAGCATTAGGTTTACTAGTTGAATAGAAACCAATATTAAAAGAGCTTATTATGTTTTTAAGGTCTAGCAAAACACCTCTCGTTATTATTAACCTTATATTATTATTTTATGGCCAATATTGTCAGAAGCACAGAAATAATGATACAGTAATTTTTCTTATTTCTTCCATCATTTAATGAAGTATCAAATGGTCCTTGCATTGATGTGTGTTCATGGACTCCAATTCTTTGGGCTACTTCTTCGTCATTGAAGCCACTCTCATTGAGATGAGCTCCCAAATATTTAAAGCTTTCGACCTGTTCTAATCTGTCTTCCAACTCTTAGTAGAGAAGGAGATAGAGAGGAACCTTGAGGGATACCACAGGAGATGGGGAGGGTCTTAGATGGGAGTTGACCTGGGACGACTACATACTGGGACCGATTTGAAAGGAAGGATTTGAATCAAGGACACTGTTGGATAGAGGAAGATTGGGAAATTTCGTAAGGAGGACGTTATGGTCAACTGTGTCGAACGCTTTGGAAAAATCTAGAAGGATGAGGATGGTAAGGTTTTGGTGTTCAATGGAGTTTTGGAGGTCATGGGTTATTTTAAGGAGAGTGGATTGCATTGAGTAGCCAGGTCGAAAGCCAGATTGGAATGGATTGATAAAGGAACGTTCTTCTAGGAAGTTGGAGAGTTGATTTTGGACAAGGCGTTCTAGCGGCTTTGAAAGGTTGGATAGGAGAGAAATAGGACGGAAATCGTGCAATGAGGTAGAGTTTGAAATTTTATTCAAAGGTCGGACTAGGGCAGTTTTTTCATTATGGAAGTAGTTGGATTTATCCAGTCAGATTGTGGATTGGGTTCCATTGCGAAGTTTCTTAAAAGACGCATAATCAGCTGGCAAACGGGTTCGGCGGTATTTGCGCCTTGCTGCATCCCTTCTTTTCATCATTTCCTTTATTTCAAGAGTCAGCCAAGGTGCAGTTTAGTTTTCAGAGGAGCGTGGGTGTCTAATAAGGATTGTAGGTTTGAAGTTAGGGTAGATATCATAGGATCAATAGAGTCATAGGAAGATATGATGTCCCATTGGAAAGAATTAAGGTCAGGTTGTAGGGATTCATAGGACAGAAGGTTTAAATTACGGTATGAATCTATTTTGGGTGTAAAGGATTTCACGGGTAGGTCGTACGTAATTTGGATCAGGTCGTGTGATGAAAGAAATGGAACGGGAGATACTGAATATCATTTAAATTACATCTTTTCAAATTTTAGTAGATAAATACATTATTTTAGCCTGAATTCAGTTAATTAAACTACATTTTTCTTTCTGCTAGGTTACTGAATTTCTTCAAAATAAATTAATGTTATTAACCTATGATTCGTTTTAAACTATCAAACACTATTTAATAGTCTTAATAGTTAGTTCTGTTTTTTGAGCAATCATCAGCTGAAAATTAAAATCATATATATTTGAAATAATATCAAAAAGAAACTAATAAATGACACACAATTGAAATAGTTTCAGAAACAATGGTTGAAAATGGCAATAGTGAAAGCTTTTATTTTTTAAATTCTAAATTGGCATTAAAATAAAATACAGATAACATTACATAATATCTTCATATAATATTTTTGTTGCAAATTTCATAAAAGAATTTCGATTGAGTTTTAGTGATAAATTTAAAATTTGAGAGGGTCTGGGAATATTATCCAGAGGCCTAAGAAAGTAAATTAGAGGCTCTTGGTTTCTCTCCCCGGGGGCATTGAGATAAATTATTTTGCTTACAATGAAATTATAATTTTTTTTTTAAGATCAAAAAATGTCTTCTCGTATCTTGTAATCACAAGGAAAGATTTAAATGTCACTAGTATCTGACTATTTAAAAAAAGAAAAGGACAATTATTACCCCGTGAGACCATTTACTATAAATTACACTGCCACTATGACCTGCATAACCATATTGAATTAAAATGAAATATGGTTGTAGAATAAATTAGTATTCATCACATGCCCCAGTTTTAAATATTATGAGAGATAAAATAAGAGAGAGCAAAAATCATGGAAACCAATTGGTCAGGGGATTACACGATGGGAGACCCAGAGGAGAGGGATAATATACACATTTTATGATGTGATACTGTGATGGTTCCTTTAATCATTTCTATGCTCCTTGGGCCTAGTTGAAAGTCATTATTGTACAAATCCTTTTCAGCCAAAGTTTCTTTTTGTAATCTATCACCTACTACTAATTTTTTTTAAAGCACTTGGTGAACACCGAACCAAACCAACCCACAAATGGAAGATTCTTAAGAAATTATTAATCACAGAAATTTTAGTAATGTCTCATCATACCATAAGCATATAATAAAAAATATATAATAAACAAAAATTCAAGAAATTAAAGTACCATTCATATGATACAATGTTTCCATAATTTCCTTGGAATGCCATTTCAACTGGATTATCTGGATCATCGAGGTTATATATGAAAAGAATCTTCCTTCCAACAATAACACTGATCTGTAACCAACAATAGGAATGAATAAAATATTTACTTTAAAGTCTATTAATGAAAATAGCTAGCATCACTCAAACAAACAATGGAAATTAAATCAACACATTGAAAGTTTTAAAAAAGAAACATACTGTGGTATCTGGTGATAATCGATCATCATTTTTTATTGAAGCAAATTGAAGCGATGAAGGTTCAGATCTTAAGGGAATAGTCCGAAGGGTATCACCTTGGTTATTACTAATAGTGACTGTTTTATCCTCAGAGCCAAGAGCCAAAAGCCCAGTTACTCCCCACGACGCAGTAACAATTCTTCTAGAATGTTTTCCTAAAACTGGGATTCGCCTTAAAATACAAACAATATAAACAATAATTTAAAAATACAAAAATAAAATATTTTTATACATTTACAACTAAGTTTCTAACAACACATGTATCTTATTATATACAATAGAATTCTATCATTATAAACATAACTTAAAGGCTCTAACATTTCACACTTTACTTCCACTAGTTTAGGAGAGAAAGGAGGAAGAGATTATAACTTTGTTTCAATTAACATAAATGGGAGGTAACAATTAATAACGATTATAAAATCTGTTCAGTCAACTTCCGAAACAAGAAGAAGGCCACATAATCTTACACATATAACAATTACACCTTTGAAGCAGTTGATCATTTCACATACCTTGGAACTGAAATCAACTCTGAAAATAAGGTTAGTGATGAGATCAAGAAAAGAATTATGAGTGACAAGAAGGTTACTATGGCCTTGTGAACTTGATGAAGTCTATTCTTCTCTCTAAACCTACAAAATTACAAATGTATAAATTGCTTATCAGACCCTGAAAACAAAGGACTAACAGGCTCTGAGGGTATTTGAGCGGAAAGTATTGAGGCTCATTTTTGGTTCCATCTGCGAACAAGGTGCCTGGCACGTATGGAATAATGAGGAACTGGATGAGCTAAATAACCATTGTTAGATTTATTGAGACAAAAAGAATTAGCTGGCTTGGGCATGTTGAAAGATTAACCAATGAACGAATGGTGAAGAAGTTCACAAGAGGATAATAATAACCTTCCCAGGATAGAGGAAGAGAGGATACCCTAGAAATAGCTGGCAAAAGGACGTGGAAAAGGATCTCAGAAAAATTGGCATAATTAACTGGAAAAAGAGCTCAGGGCAGAGAGAAATGGAAACTTGCTGTAGAGCCACATATGAAAGTAGGGAGGATAAAATAACTTTAAATTAATAGTTCCTATGTTATATTATGGAGTTTTTATGTTTACATAAGGTAATAACCTTTAATAAATTAGCTTTAGTTAAATAACTTAATAATTACATATAAACTAGCTATACTTAAACAGAAATGAATATTTACTCAAAGTAGAGTAATCAGTGAAATTTGTATGAAGTTAGCATAAATTCATAAAGTTAGTCTAATCAATGAATGCTCAAAAAGGGTGTATAGAAGGAAATGACGGGGAAACAATTTTTGACTTTGGAACATTTTTGAACTGGTAAGGATGTAAACATATTAAAATTTCACACTCCTAGGTGATGAGCCAGATGTGGAAGTACGCCTAGGTCACTTTTTTGGGGGTTTTCGCTTATATCAGAAAAACTATCCATCGCATCGAAAAAACGTTCCACAGAATTAAAGCTGATAAAATTTGCAATATGATTGATTATATTCCTCTTTTCACTACCTCGCTTAGTTTTCAAAATATCTGTCCTAAACTATGCCTGATCTCGAAAAAAATTTGCCTTGTTTTTATTGCTATTTTTTAAGTTATCGCTTATATCAAGAAAACTATCCATGGCAACGACAAAAACATTTTATTCAAAATTAAAGCTGATAAAAATTGCAATATGATTGATTATGTACTTTTTATAGCTAGCTATCTTAGTTTCTGAGATATCTGTCCTCAACTATTGCTAATTCTAAAAAAAAAAATTTTACCTCATATTTTTTACTGTATTTTGACTCTTGATAGCATTGATTTAGGATTAAATAATTGGGAAGAATGTTCTAATTTTCACTTGTGAAAGGAAAATTGACTAATGTTAAAATGTTTATCTAAATAGTTCATAGATTTTAAAGCAGTAATTAAATCAGATCAACAGAAGTTGTTAAATTATGTGTTAATACAATAATTGTTTCTTAGTTTGTATATACTTTATATGATTTCGATATTTTAATTTTTTTAATGTGGATCATGTCATGTTTTCGACCATTATAATGTATATATGTATATTATGCCCATGTTTAGTTATTTTCATTCTTTAGTTTAGATATTTAAAAAAAAAAAAACTGAAATTATTGAAATTTCTAATCCCTCTATAATTTCATTTTGATTTTAAAACTGTTGTAGGTACATCAGTATATTTAAATACATTATAGACAGATTAATAATCAAGTAATAAGTAAGTTTAGCATATTTAGAGATTAGTTACTGTATTGTTCATGTTTTTTTACTGCATGAAAATCCGGGCCTTGGCAATAACACTACAAATAAGGAAAATTCAACAATAATAGTTAGACAAAAAATGTATTATTTTTCTCTAACTCAGCAATTAAAGTTATTCTCAAATTTTTGTTATTAATAAATATTTTATTGTATAACAAACAATGTAATCCAATAAAAATATCAACATGGTAATCGAATATTTAATTTTCTAAATACAATAAAACACAGAAAAATCTAGATGATTAGAAAAAGACAATTATCACATATTTTAGGTTCTAAATTGATTCACACTTGACTAACTTTGCAAGTAATTTTTATAAGGAAATGTTTTAAAATAATAATATGATGGATAAATTGATAAATAAAAATAATTTTAGCACATAAATATGATGTTTGTTTAGCGTTCATCAAAATAATAATATTTTATAAGAATAGTATTGGTTTTATAGTAAAGAAACACATAACAGTTATATTAGATCTTTTCTAAGGAAATTATAAATTCACCATCACCAGATATGTGGAAACATTAAAACAGCAGAAACTATTCCAAACAAGACAAGAATTTGGAGGAATAAAATAATGAATTCAATTAGGAATGATACAAATCTTCCTTTGATAAATGATTTATAATCTAGAAATAATTATGAATTAGTAATAAAATAGTTCTTGGAGAAAGTGGAATGCTCATAAAAAAACTTACTTAGAAGTTCTATGGTTATATATGCAAAGATTTCCTCTAGCACTTCCAACAGCAACAACAGGTTCATTCTTTGACCATGCAATAACAGTAAGAGTATCTCTCAACCCTGTCTCAATACTATATCGTTTAGCAGTGTTTGAGTCCCATAGCATAATCATAAAGGATCCATCACTGATCATTCCAAGTAAATCACCATCACTATCCCATCCAAAACCTGTGCATTGCCTAAAAAATTAAAATTATAATTCATTCCATATAAGTAGTAAAATTTACAAGATTACAATATTAAAAATAGCCTCTTGAATTCAATTAAGTATAAAATATATACCTTTAAAAAAAAAAAAAAAGAAATAATGCCTTATTAATACACAGTAAAGAAAAAGAAACAATTGTTATAAACTTTAATCATAATCATTTTACATTTATAATCTTTATTTATACATATACATATGAAGTTTAAATGTTCTTATGAACAATGATGATTTGAAATAATGTTCATCTGCCATATATTGCAATTTTAACATCCTAATAAAAATACATAGTCTGCAAACAAAACCAACAAGTGTTCGATGACATATGAGATGAATAACTATAATTAAATTTTTTTTTTTTCAGAACACTTTCTGAAATATATTTTATTAGCCCCACTTTTTCAAATGTAATACTTGTTGATTTGTTAAAAAAATAATTAGGGTATTCTTCGAATTGATAGAAATGTTCACAAAATGAATTAATTATAGGATTATAATTGTAAATATTATTTAGTTCAAGACAGTAAATCATTATATATTTTTTAAATATAATATGCTCCATGAGTGTGATAGTGAATAAACAAACTTATTATTTTGACTGTTCAGTAAGTCTTACAAAACAAGCTGATATAGTAGAACCCAGACACATTGAAATTTGACTTACTTTATTAGGAAGCTATCTGCCTCCTGCTTCCTGCTATCCTTGTTCATTAGCCAGCCATTTTACCAAATCATGATGTTTGTCATGGATATTTCCAGACATAAAATTTTTAAATTATTCAAGAATAATTAAAAAGTAATTTATATTATATGCAACCTATATATTCCATAGGTGATAACAAAGTTAAGGACCAATCCAAATTTATGTTATTGAAACTTTATAGTACCAAACTAATATGCATTTTCTTTTTAAAAAAACATACCTTAAAATATTCATCACTTTAAAACAACACAAAATACAGCTTAAATGGCTGGAAAATTTCAGAATTTTGATGGAAATAATTTCAATGAAATAGAAATAAATTTTATTTTTTTTTAATAATGCGAATATATGAAAAAAAATATGTAGTAAGATAAGGTGTACATGGAAGATTGATAATTAGGGGATGGAGAAACAATAGACATTTAAATGAAGTTAATGAAGGGAATATGTATCAAACAGAGCAAATAATATTTCAAACTCAATATCAAGTGCCGACAACCGAAACAAAGAAAAAAAAGAACTGTTAAGAGGAAGCCGATATCAAACACTTCTTTACAGTGACATGGGTTTGTCAAAGCAGAGTAGCATTTACCCAGGGATCTTTTCTCAAGTTTGCTAGTAATTGGTTCTACCTGGCTCCTTTTGGGTGTCACCACTTTAAATAATTTTACACCCCCCGAAGTTTAAAGCCAATCAGAACCATCCTTGTCCCAGCCTGGATTGTATAAAATTGCCTACAAGTAAAGGGTCTAGGACTTATGTTTTCTTCCTGCTTTGGAGACTAAGGGTGCAGCTTGGCCTATACAGGCCTGGGAGGTGGGTTTCTTCGAACTTAGAACATGGAATTATTTGGACCTTGGCTTTGATAGGAGCAGATGGCATCAAACCACCAGATGCAGTGATGGAACCTCAATGATGACCAACTAACCACATCATCTCTTAAACCTCAGTTAAGTTTAATTTCCAAACAGTAGATTGATTAATGTTAAAATATTTCATGGCATATTCTCAAACCAGTCCATCTGAATCATATATTTGTAGAGTTCTTAATGAATACATATGAATCATGTTTTTATTTAGTTTATTGTAAATATTGTTTGTACATTAAGATTTCCATGAAATCTGTATATCATAGGAATAAATTAAGTTTTTTTAGTAAAGTGTTTTTAATTCTGCCACCTATTATTATCATTTTATCAGTGGCATCCTGAATAATTTTCCTCTAAAACATAGCAAAGGATGTAGTTTTATGAGGAAATGAACAAATTTACGAATTGGATTCTTGTGTTTGAGGAGTGGGAAGAGAAGTATGATGTGAACAAATTTAAGATTTAAAAAAGAGAGAGATGGCCATGAACTAGCAGATTTTAAGAGGCATATAATCACTAAATCTTAGGAGCTATGTTTGGAAAATAATGGATTTTCATAATATGTTAATTCCCTAGAATTATTGACATATCTATCCTAATAGATTTTAATAAAAAAATACCCAAAGGTTTCAAACTGATGTGTGGAAGTGGATAGGGAAACGAGTGACGGTAGAGTAAGGAATGATATGAAAGAGAATTAAAGAGGTTTGTTGAACCGAAAACGGTGGAAATGGGAAGCCTTGGTTATTTTTTTATTTTTTTTTTTTTTAACGTGTAGCCTCAATACATAGGAAACTGTCATATTTATACTATTTAAGTTTCCTTGTAACTTTTGGAGAGCTGTGATCAGTTAAGCAGGAATAAAGAATTTGTAAATTTGGAGGTTAACAGCATAGGTGTTGTAATTGGATAAGTGGGAGGGAGTGGAATTAGGAAGATCATTAATATAGATAGAAATACCACTGATAAGGGTATTTTACTTGAAAATTACCCCTAGTAGATATTTGTTTCAGCAATTCAGGGGGCGGGGTGGCCGAATAGGCTAAAGCGTGTGTAACAGCACCGCTAGTTGCCTGGCAACCTGATAACAGAGATTTGAGATGATATAATAAGTACGAGTTCGCGACCCGGTGCCGGAGGGGATTTTAAATTTCCCTGCCCTCACCCCCCGGCCCGGGAAAATCCCGTATAGCCTAAAAGGCGAGGTAGGGAAGAACAAAAAAAAATAAAATAAAATAAAAAAAAAATATTAAAAAAATTTGTTTCAGCAAGATTAGTATATAACTTTTTTTTTATGGTCTTTATTATTAGCAAAATTCTTTAAATGTTGGCTTCATCTGACAACACACTGGTCCAGTAGGTAAGAAAACACTACCAAAAGTCTTGACTGGTTGGTAAATATAAAAAACTTACTTTAAAATATAAATAAAAGTATAAACTAAGTTACAAGGGTTTAATCAATTGTCTTTCAATGAAAAAAATTATAAAAAAATTTGTTTATACTTATTAATAATTAGATCACATTTACAAATTAATCATACTTGAATGAACATATTATAAATCAATGGTTGATTTGTCTACACAGGAATCTTAATTAATTGTGGTGATTCTAGGAGACTAAGTAATTCATTCTGGAGTTGAGATTTCTTATTAAAAGATAATTTTGCATGTTTGAGGTCATGCGGTCAAATGAAACAAGTAAATAACGGAACATATCTTCCATAGTTTATGGTCTAGACATTTTTCTAGTATTCCGTTCCCAATATCATTTAAAATCATTACGAGTTTCAAGCACATCTTCAGATTCTGATGGGTAAAATTGCTAGAATGATTATCTCCGGAGCAAGAATAGTTATTTTGTGGAGGTTACTCTAGAGGTCAACCAAACTTATTCCAATCAGAGTGTAAAAAACAGGATTCATATTGTGGGTCTACCTCTAAATAAATTTCAACCCGTCCAGGCAAAATTCAAACCGGCTCTACTAAACTCGAGAATGTTAAAGCGGGCATCACTTCAACTAATAAGACTGGCAGCCTGATGAGACTTATATAGCCTGCGAATATTCTAGTCGGGACTGGTTGATTGTCTTGTATCTCATGGGTTGAAAAAGTGAGATGACTCGAATTACTAGATCTTTCGTTATTTTTATGTTTTAACATTCATAACCATTATATTAAATTAAACCATTATAATATATTTAATTTGACAAATTAATTTATTGGAAAAATCCAAAAAATATTACTTAGCCTACTAAGTAATAAATGTCAAATTATGATAAAAAGATTGAATTTTTTTTAATGGAGTGTTTACATTACTTTAGCTTAACTTAGAGGGCAACTGTCAACCTCAGCTAGCTAAGTTCACTCAAAAAATAAACGAAGCCCTAGCAGGTTTTTGACTTATGTTATACTGAAAACATAATTATGCAGATGATAACATATGCTATACTGATAACATATCACATGCTGATATGATAGATAACTTAGGAGAATAAACCAAATATGATAGTTTTCTTTGTTTTTGCTGAAATATTAATTGTTAAATAATTGAGATTCATTAGGAGCCATAAAATTCTAAAAGATTTTAGAAAGACTGAAAACAAGGATCAGATCTATGGAAAGGTTTAATCTTTATAAATGTATAGGCCTTTCTACAACGAGGTAAGTAATAATTAAATAAACAGGATAATTTTAAAAATCGCTACCCTGGTAGTTTGATTCTTTCATGAAGTTTCCCTTGTCGATTATAAACACAAATGGATACATCATTTCCAACCGTTGCTAAATATAGCCCACTGCCTTTCTGCCAGGCAAAATAAATTTCACCATCTCCATGGGGCTGGTCTAGTTTAAACAGTTCCTAAAATCACATCAAAACATTATCGACCAACCATTAAGAATTAATGAAAACATTTTATAAGACACAGAAAGAGTTACTATTCCCATTTAATCAAACAAACCTTTTCATATGACATCCTGAGGGATGTGTAAACAAATATTTAAATTAGTTTACACTTCCCGCAATCTTTGTTTATAACCTGATAAAACTAAAGGTTTTTACAGCTTCCAAAGAAGTACTAGTAAAGTGTATAAACCCCAACTCAAATTTAATCATTTACATCTATTAAAGTATTACATTTAAATTATTAACATTGTATATTATTTCTCAAAGGTACATTTGTCGATATGTCATATCTACCTTAATATTTCATCGAAACCAAAAACTGATCCTTCATTTTAATGATTTAAAAAAAGTTATTCGAATTATAATCAATTCCCATAATTTCGTTTCCACATTTGCAAGAATGGGGAGACGGGTGTCAAGGCAAATTTGTAAAAAAATGTAAAATTAGTGTTGGAAAAATAGGAAGCAAGCTTCAACTCATCCCCATAAAGGTGGAATCTTGAAGGCTCGATCCTGATATAACTTTTAGATCTGGAGCTTCAATGCTCGAACTGAAAGTTCATAAAATTCGAAACGTAAAATATTTATTTAGTTTTTAAATAGAAAGTAATTACAGTTTTGGGAAACTTAGTAATTTTGTCTTGAAAATTATATATCGCTTATCCGGTGCAACTAAACTGCTCAAAATGATTTGAGATATTTCTGATAAATTCTTATTTCATTCGTTTTAATTAAAATACCCTATTTTTTGGCTGGTTAGGGATTCTCTTATCTGTTGGTAAACAGTAAACTGGAGCGGGGTGGCCGAGCGTTGCCCGGCAACCTGATAACCGAAGTCTAGAAGAAAGCATAATTGATATTGCGTCCTGGTGCCGAGGGGAGCTTTTAACTCTGGCATTATTCCCTTGGCCCGGGGAATTCCCCGTATAGCCTACAAGGCGAGTAAGTGGAGAACAAAAAAAAAACGAAGGCAACATTTTTTTATTTTTTAATAAATCATTAACTTAAGGATAGTCAATATGAAGAATACTCATTGTGTAAACTAGTAGTTGTTTTCTAATTTTATCAACTTTAATCCAGTAATATTCTGTTTGGCGATGGAAAGACTAAAAATTGGTAATATCATCGTGAGAACGAGCAATGAAGGGTACCGAGAGTGAATGTCGCCGATTCAGTTGGCGTCTCCCGAAGTGTGGTCTCTCGGGATTCAGACAGATTTTGACATATCGTAAGTACCGATAAGAGACCAATTAATGGATCTCAGCATATAATAACGCCAATAGATAACAAAAATATTATTATCATTGCAAGCAGTGACCCTTTTCATAGTGTCTGACAGAACATAAATGAAGTTTCGAATGTTCTACCAAGTTCCATATCAACACAAACCCTTCGTAATCGTTTGGGAGAAATTGATCTAACATCTTATGTTTCTTTAAGAACATCTGCAGCAACAGTACGTCACCACCAACTCTGTAGATTATGGTGCAGCGAGCTCCTAGATGAAGAAACAAATAGGAATGTTGTTATGTTTACAGAGAAGTAGCGTTTCTGTATTTACAGCGATAGAAGGACGCTGAAGAGTCTACCGAGATTAGAAAACTCATACACTGCCACAGTTTGTGCTTCCTTCAATGCAGTCAGGAGTTGGGAATGTGATGGTATTGGCCGGCATCTATTTAGAGGGACGGATTCTACTCCATAATGTGAAAAGTAATGTCATTGCAGTTCGTTATGTTTAAGAACTTATTAAAGAGTACATTTATCGAACTAAGGTCATAATTGGTCCAGATTTCTATTTTTCTTGCGACAATCCGCCACCTCCTGAGGAGAAAGTTGTTCATCAAATCTGAATATTTCATATCAGCTCCTTCCCGCATTTACTCCAAATATTAGCCCCCATTGAGAACACGCTGGATGCACTGCCGAGAATTTTTTTCACCACCATCTACAAATTCTTAATCTTCAGCAACTAAGAGCAGTATTTCCAAGTTTATGAGATGAAATTCTTTGTTAAATTAGCAACATTAGAAACAGTATGCTCAAAAGGTACAGGGACAAGTCATTAAATGTTTACAGTTCGTAATAATAAAAATAAGATAAAAAAATTCTTTACTTATTTATTTATTTTTTTTTTAAAACATCTTTATAAATTTCACCGAGTTCAAATACTATCTATTCTATTTTTTTCCGACCCTGCCTTTAAGGCGATGCAAGAGTTTGCAGCAGTGAGTTCACTGCTGCAATTTTATCTTTTACATTTTGATAAATTGCTGTGCATACAGCCTGCTTTCATTCATTGCTCATTTAATTTTTTCTTTCTGCTGTTCTGGTCGGCGGCTGCCCAGAAACTGTGCCTTCTTTCCTACCCAAGAAGAATGGGTTGTGTCTACAGCTTCTTTACTCTCGCACTCAAAACTTTTAAATTTCGTGTAGTCCGTTGAGGGGACACATTTTCATTCAAAATATAGACTCCTGTCTTCCTTGACAAGTTGGCCCTCAGTGGCTCATAGTTGGTGCACAACGATGTTTCCAGCAGTTCCTGATGCACCAAAAGTAGGGTCAAAAATAGCGTAAAACCACCCATGTCTCGTGAGAATCTGTGATACTCAGAAGTCGGGGAGGACCCACGTCTTTTCTGGGAGCGATCCGACGGTGGAAAAGAACTTCCTGAGTGTAAACCCATCGTCGGTTCCATTCTTATAATGTATCCCATCATCCGGGGTCTTCGCAGATTCTCTCTCATGTGTTCGCTGGTAAATCCGCCAAGCCATCCCTTTTAATGTAGTGCCGGAAAAGATCTTCCCCCAAGAGGAGGTCGAGAGGAATAGATTCTCCTAAGACCTGCACAGCATCATGAGACAAAGTCCTGTATGACCTGATTACTCGAATCAGGGCCATTCTCGGATTCGTCGCCAACCAGCCCTTCTCTCTTGGGGGGCACAGATTTATCCCGGGAGAGTATAGCATGGTGCATCTTTCAAACTCCGCTTCATTATCTTGAGACGCATCATCTTCAAGTACAGTTTTATTTGTAATAATTTTCAATGTATATCATAATAAAAATTCCAGAGAAAATAAACCATACATAATTAATAATATCCCTATTCATTTTTGAGCAGTTTAGTTAATAGATGTCCTGACGAACAGACAATATAATTAGCTGCCATTTTTTTTTTTCAACAAACGTATTTTTTGTACAAAATGTCGTATAAGTATCAGTTTGTAAAAATGGCTCCTCTTGTAATGGTGCTCCGTTGCGGTGTATTCTTACCGTGTGCACTGAAAGAGAGCAGTTGATCACTTAGAGAATATTTCAAATAATATTGTCTAAATATATTGGGCAACTAGATTCGTGACCAACCATGCCAAATATGTTAGGACGTGTATGGGCTCCTTTAGGTTATCTAAAGAAGTGTTTTATATAGGACAAATTTATTCAGCGCCGACATTTTAGCTAGTGGCGTGATTTTACCTAGCGAATCACTACTCCATCCTACTTTTTACGCGATTTCGCTCAAACTTATTTGAAAAAGGGATAAGTTCATGTAACAAAAACAAATAAAATAAATTTGGCATTGCTTGATATCTTTTATAGAAAAATCAGTTGATTTGGAACAATGAAGTTGTAAAAATTATGGATGGTCTTTCATGACAAAAATCCCCTAAACAAATCTTGTTTTTATTTGTCAAACGATTTTTTATTTTCATCACGAACTACAGCTTGACAATTATTTTTCACTTCATTTATTATTATATTTGAAAATAAAAATTACCTAATGACAATATAGAAACACAAGTAAGAGTTCGGAAAACTTAGGTTACAGAAAAGTTGAACTTGAAAACTATGTTGGCATTTATTCAGAGGGCAGTATGGAGGTCTTATGAGGCATTAGGAGAAGGAAATCTTTTAAAAATATCTTGCTGTGAGGAATGAGAAAACAAGAAAAAATGCTCTGTTGTGATTCTATAGAACCTTCAATGGATGAAAAATGGTTATGCAGAAAGACATGATCAAGGGATGAAAGACTGATTGAAAAAGAACTATTCTTTATATACCCAACATGAATTGCCTAAACTAACCAATTTCCTCTCCACTGTCTAGTCACATCTAGAATTGGCCTGTCGAGGATAGGTAGTGCGTTCTGGGGGGTCAAGTACCCAGCGACCAGAACAATCCACAAAGGTGTTGTCCTAGGTATAATTAGGTACGCATCACCTGCGGCTGGCAACTATCCAGAGATTGGCTCTGCTGAGAGTCATCAAATCTTACAGGATGGTGTCGCACGGTCCAAATACTGGCTGGAGAGATGCCCATCGATCTGATCCTAAAGGAGGACGTAATCAGGTTCGATGTCAAAAGACACAGACTCGGTTCGCTTCCAGAGGGACTATAGCGAAGGGTTGTGGAGGAGCCAGGAAAATGGAAGAAGCTGGTGGAGGAGGACTCACTTCAGGAGTGGAACAAGTGGTGGGTGAGTAGCGAGAAGGGTTCTACCCTGAGGAAGTATTTCCCAACTTTTAGTTCCAGGATGGAGGCGAGGTGGGTGAATCCAAACTACTGACATCACAGATCCTTACTGTGCACGGGGGTTTCCGAGCCAAACTGAATAAGCATGGGAAGAACATCAACCCCTTGTGCCCCACTTGTGGGATTCCGGACACGGCGGAGCATGTAGTCCTGAGCTGCGAAAAGATGGCTGGGCATAGAGCCTGGCTGTCAAGGATGAAAGAACTATATGCGATGGAAGAGGCGGATCTACCGAGGCTGATAAGCGAGGACTGCTAACCCTACTTCACTGAGTAAGTCAGGAGATGGAAGGAGGCGGTGAGTCCAGAGCACTTCACCCTTTGGAGAGGATGCCCGCGGGAGGCCATAGAGGAAGCGACAGAGGAAGATGAAGAAGAAAGAAAAGGTGCAGTCCTTCCTAAGGCGTTTGCACGCAGGCCCATGCTGGGCTGCACCACAGGTACCCAGAATTGTTCCCAAAAATAAATATCCAGAGATCACGTACAAATGTATAAATAAAGAGACATAAAAAAAAAACAAAAGAATTTATTGGTGGCAAT